TTCCTCACCTTGTGTGTATACCTTAACAAAACCGATTGCCCAATCTATATAAAGTGAAATCTTTGTTTGACAGCATCTCAACACTTTTTTTTAGATTGCCAAATTGATTATTTCCTGTAGCCGTGTAGAAAGTTATTGAAATGTTAAAAAAATATATACATCACTGCCACAGAAGGCGATTGATCACTTTTAAACATAGTGTGTGTGACTTCATTAAATCAGCATCCCTCAATAGACCATTTTCTGTTAACTGCAAGATCCCGCGTTATGCATGAAAACAAACTAAGGTCATAGTGATTCAGTGGCATCAAAACAATGTGTGGGATTCAACTATCACAAAAGTATTTTAGGAGTATTTTCATACTTAATATTGTGTTAAACAGATTTGATGGTCAATTTTAATGAAGTAAGGGTACATGTATCTCTACACTATATTCCCCTCAGGAAGATCAACATTGAGCTATAAAAAAGAATTCAAGTTCAAAATCAAATCATTTGATTTTTTACATGAGATCTTGCGGTGAACAGAAAATCACCTATTCATATTAATTTCAGCTCAATGTAATCAGTCTCAAATACACATGATTCTGTCCTGTTGAAACATAGAACTGCAAGCACATGCGCTTACACGAATATAGAGATTTATCCATGGTCAAAATAAGTAAATAAATATATTAATGATTCATTCTACAGCCAATGCCATTTTTGGTTCACAATTTTTTTTTAAATTGAACATTACCATTAATTATCACCTCAATGTGGATGTGATATGAACAAAACATAACTGACAACAATTTAAAAGATCCACTTTTGATGCGATGTTCCCAGTACACCAGTATGAGACATTTTACTCATCAATAGAGAACTTCCAGCTGGACACCAACATGGCTGCCAATATCTAGGCAACAATATCTAGGCAACACATGATTGAAATACCAAATGTGTAGAGGGTTTATTACAGTTTGCTCCACAACTAACTAAAACAATTCATCATACACCATAGCAACAACCACAAATCAACTGTTTGTTAGCAATGCATTGATTAAATAACAGAAAAATTCTGATACGAATTACTTTATTTGCTTCATAAGAAAGCTTTGTTAAAAAGGTAACCATAGGTGGAACATGCGAACTTAACCCCCCCCCCCCCCCCCAAAAAAAAAAACAAAAAAACAAAAAAAAAACATTTTTGGCTTCCATACAACATTTTTTTCTTAATTAACATTATGGATAATTTTGACCATTTTTTTAACTACTTTGTCAATTTTGCAAAGGCTAGATATCATGCTTTACGATAAGCTAAATGCTGTTTTTGTTACATAAAATAAAATTCTTTTGATGAAATAATGAACAAACACACATGCCTTGAATCAGTGGTATTTGCTCTATTAGTATGCTCATGATTGTCAAAATTTTAATAATCCAGTAAACAAAAAATGCAAGTGTTGGAGATGCGCCTTCAATAGAGCAAATACAGTACCATTAATTCAACAAAAGTACATGCACATTCGACTACTTCAATATTTCATCATTGGACAAATACTATTTTATAAGCTACAAATAAATGTTACTATAAATCATATTACCATACATCTAGCACCGAAAATAATATAATTTATCGTTCTGTAAAGAGCTGTATTTGCATTCATTCCAGAACTCGGTACTCAAACGTTAAAATTTTCACTTTATAAATGGAATGAACATTACTTTCAACTCATTCTTGTCTAAGTTAGACATATCTAACTATATACAATAGTGGTAGTGACGACATTAAGTACGTCATCAACATAGACATGTTTAATATTATTGATATCCGTTACGCATTGGTTGATACGATTACCATACTGCCTTCATGCATACTTTGCGATATTCTCATAATAAACTTATAATTCAAAAATGAATCAAATATCAACACATGAAATATAAAAACACCAAAAACGCTTATATGAGGAGGCCCTCAAAGCTACACTAACCTTGATTAGATTTGATTTAACTTTGACATTTTGAATTGTATTCACAAGCTTACCAATGAAGATACGAGTTTTACCGTAAATGGATGTGTTCACATGGATTTAGGCAACATTAAACTCAGTGAACAATTTATGAATTTATAGTACCAGGCATACTGAAATGCAAACTGAAATTGTCACTGAAAGTTAAAGTTGCCAGTAATATCAGAACATGCAGTATCAATACATTGATTTTTACAGTCAATTTCATATTGAG